GAACTGTAGTACGATCGAATCAGCGCGCGTGGCGCAAGCTGAAAGCAATCAAGACAACTTAACGATCGAGACAGTCAAAAAAATAGCTGTACATCTACAAAGGCGAACGATTCGAAAAAGACGCAATCCCTGATGTGCGTACTCAGTGCCACACATAAAGCAAATTCTCATGAAAAACTGGCATTTAATAGAAACACAACCACTACTGAGCGAACTATACAAAAATCCGCCGCTCGTATCTTACAAAAGAGGGCGGTCGCTCAAAGACATACTCGTGAGGGCTAAACTTTGAATAGGCTACTCTAAACACACGCTTGGGAGTCGTGTAGGCCTGTCAACCCCATTTTACGCCACCATCTTCCTCTTCGCTACTGGAGACAACTTCGCTTCGTCCAGAAGAAGATTCACTTGACAAAACTTCAATGTCTGCCATCTCCTTCTCCCCCGAATACAAACAAACAGTGAGTGAAATAAACCACACTTCGGAGTGAACACAACCAGTGACATCATCAATCCATTTCACTCAGTACCAGGGCCCGGACATGGTTTTGTGTAAAATTTTTGATTTGAACGGTTAAAAAAGATATCTTTCACTTCTTTTTGGCCAAAGCAAATTATCTCATGATGATCAGCATATTCAAAACTACAGGTTAGAGCAAATATTTCAGATACGAAAATTTCGTTTCAGTAGCACTTTAAGTTGAGCCATTACAACATCCTCCCAGTGGAAAAAGTATAATAAAACAAAATATCATGAGCATGAACACAAGAATTACTTTTCAAAATTACAGTGCAAATGTTCATGAATGGAAATAGAGAAAGTCTCACCCCATGTAGGATTGGAGACAAAGATTACTTCTGAATGGTAGAATTTCTTCATGAACTCCATGGCAAGACGAAGACTTCCTGTGCCAGAAATTGCTTGAGCTGAACAAACCTGTCCAAAGAGATGAATATAACATTGTAAAATGCAAAAATTCTTCCAGCATTAGGATACAAACAAGGGAAAATTGTGCTAGCACTTGAGCATTGATACCAAAAATTGCATGCATACAGTTGTTTGCAGAAAGGTTATCAGAAAAATGAACTAAGTATTATGCAACAATCTCAAAGGTAATCTGGGTATCTGATAACAGGGGACAAATACCAACATGAACAACCAACAGGAACAAGGCAATACAATATTACCTTGTAAACACTTTTCTTTAGTTCAACATGAATTTGCTCTTGTTGAGTTCATTGAGGTCAGTTTGCTTTTTTTTCCCTTTTTATTAACTTTAGTTTAGTAGGTCAGTAATGCAGATGAAAATATATTCATCAAACCTGCCATCCCTCTTCCTTAGTTAACTAAAGTGATGTTTTCTCAGATTTCCCTGAAATCCTGAGTTCTAGGAGCAGTGACCTGAAATTTACCTACAATGGCATTTGGGGTCATCACACACATTTGTGCTTTTTCCAACAACCTTTGTGTGAACAGCTGAATTCACATTCAAGAATTACACAAGCTCAACCTTAAGTTTCTCCTTCTGCAGCACCCCAACTGAGCTGGAATACGTAAGAGCAGTCAAGGACTAAAACGGGTAAAAGCCAAAAGTGGCGTAACCGAAAAACATAACTGGGAACTAACTAGAAGGAGAGGAAGGCATGACTGAATTGTGAAAGATACAACCCACTCTAAAGAGAAAGATACTGGTACCTGTTAAGTTCAGATTTTTTAGGGTACAGTTTAGCACTCTTTCTTGTTACTTGTCAAGATTTGTCACATTATCTTAGGAATATTTTGGTTATGATCGGCAATAGATTATGCCTATAGGCTTTTGTAGTCCCAGGGTGTAGCCAGGATTTTTCAAAGGTGGGTAATGCACTGTGTTGAACAAAGAGTAATCACTAGATTATCATGTTGACCACTGTGCCACGTTTTACTTAATGTGACAATAAAGGCTTAGAAGGGGAGGGGGGGGGGTTCATGGACACCTCAGGAACCCAACTAATTTACTGAAAATTTTGTGACAATAATAGTTTCCCAGGTATAAGCTGTCTTTACGGAATGGGGGTGTTGTCCTGCCTTGAGAGCTTAGTACTTCTCAGTACCTCTAATCCTCTTTGTTAAAAAAAGAAACAAGCTTCAGTTGGTAGCAACAAACCAAACTAAAAGGTCTTTCATGCCTGCAATGCTAATTACTAGGCCTCCCTATTGACAAAATTAGTTTACACTTGACCCCTGCGCCCGAAATAAGAACAGACGAGATGGGTCCCGATCATTATCAACTTCAATTATGTAACAGAACCGTTTTTCATCATTTCATAAGCCCTGGAGCAGCTTGAGAAGATGATTTACGTAAATTGTTCACAAACCTACCCTATTCTCTGCCAGAGCAGGGCTGTCATTTCCCAAAAGTAGTCTACTGGCTGCCTCACAAAAGGACTTGAGACCATCGATCGATAAATATTCATGGTTTAGCAACTTCGATGCAATTTCCTCAGCTAGTCGCTTTTCAACATTCTGAACCACTGGTAATACCATTGGATTTCCATCATTGTCGCGATAGGCTAGAGAAATCAATGGAGAAGTAAAATTAATAAAGCCCAAAACGCCATATCGAACTAATATAACTTAAGACTACCAGACCGTAAATGCATATTAATAACCTTGGACAGAATATGCTCAAAGGCTTTGTCTGATTTTCGTAAAGCTTTTACCTCCTATTCCCATGTTGACTTTCTTGGGATGCTGGTCATTATTGTACATCTGATTGACAAAGAAAACATGATCTGTTAGAACGACGGGAACATCTTTGAAGGTCGAAGTAGCCGCCATGTTGTAGAACCGGATTATCACCGGACAATACCCCTAATTCAGTCGATAACTGCTCGCTGCACGGTTCGTTTCCTTCCGAATCGCAATCGACTATAACCATGACGTCATGAGGTCTGCCAATCGCTATTTTTAAGGAAAACAGCACTAAGGGGAAATGAGTGATTCTCGTTCTATTTCTAAACATTTCTTCTCATTTTGCTGAAAACTAAGATGGGATTGTTTGGACAAACCCCGCAGAAAGCACCAAAAGAACAGGTCTGTTAGTTTAAATGGAGTTTTAGTACGTTTACGGTCCTCTAGTACCAGAAATACTAAGGAATATCATGTTAAATGTAATAAATGTTACTCGAAATTTACTTCAGCTTGATATTGGAAACTAAACTCCGTGCGTCCTTTTTCTTTCTGATCAAAAAGTATTAGAGCGAGATTAAATGTCTGAACAATCAATTGCATTGCTATGCTCCGAGCCCGTTGCAGACGATAAATTATCTTTACAATGCATGTATTTCAGTGCATGTTTAGTTCTCAAAGTGAAACTGTCAGACAACTTTTATTTTACATCAGTGAAATTAACGAAGCTTCGTTGCGCTGTAGCAGTCAGCTGTAGGGAGCGTTACTTATGGTGTAGAATTCGAACTCCAATATAATTTATATGAGGCAATTGAGGAGATCTGATTTGCAATGTAAACCTCATGGTACTTAAAGTAACTGACTCTGTGACCTCAATTCGGTGAAGGCCCAAAATGTAGCTCAAGTGCTGTAGTGCACTTATTACGATTAATGAGCTTCGAGAGGATTTTTTTATAGTAATATGTATCCTAGAGGTATTAAATTTTCTTATAAATGCCTTTCATGATGCAGAGAGCAAGTTCATACAAGAAATGATACATGCACGTACACCTGTCTGTGGTAGTTTCTAGTTGACTGATGCCATGAAGGTTCCTGTGACCTCTTGTTAACACTTCACTTCCAAGATCTCAAAAGTAATTCTCCTTACTGTCCACTATACAATTCCCACAATGTTGCATCTAAGAACTTGGTTTTGGATAAAAAAAAAGTCCACTTGTTGATATGTTTTGTTAATCTCATCATCTACCTGCTTCATAGTGTATAAATTTATAAAGTTAATGTAAGAAAAAATTAGTTCCAGGTCACTCCTGGGTGTGAGACTGAGGATTAAACTGACTGATAAATGTGCAGTTGATCCAGATTCTTCTCTTGCTAAGTTGTCAGTGGGTAAATAAGGTTGGGGCAACAGTCCTCTTGGCTAACTTCTAAGAATTTCAAAGAAACAACATTTGGTACAATGCATGTTTATCTTTGATGATTATCTACCTAAACATTAGGCAGTTAAAAAAAAATCAGAAGAAAAAAGAGTAAACTCAAATAAATGATTGATTGAGAAACCAGTGTGGATATAGAGTGTAACTTGTAGTTTTTGTTCAATATCCAGGTACAGGAATGGTGTAGAGGCTTGAGGAAAGAAGGCCGTGTTCTTGACAGACAAATTAGAGGTTAGTGCAAGCTTGCTCCATTTTCAATTTGATTCACAGTAAGTAACAATGAGGTATTCCTAGCCATTCACTTCTAAATGGAGTCATCACAAATTGTTTTTTAAAACATTATGCATTATTTTTGAAGCCATTCAAAGAGAGGAAGAAAAAGCAAAGAGATCTCTCAATGATGCTGCAAAGAAAGGGCACAAGGATGTTTGTTCCATATTGGCCAAAGAAATTATAAGATCAAGAAAAGCTATCAACAAAATCTATGCATCTAAAGCACAGCTGAACTCTGTAGAGATGAGCATGAAGAACCAGTTGGGTGAGTCACTTTAATACCCTTTGTGTAGCAAAACTTCTACATGCTGTATATCAACTTTCCAAGTGTACCCAGAAGTCTCCTGGGTATAAATATCCCTGCCTCTTGTATGGCTGAGACTTTAAATGATTCTCCTGAGCCCAGTTTATCAAAAGCACTCAACTTATTGATCGACATTCAGCAGTTCAAACGTCGCAAAAGGAAGATTCCGACCGCATTCCATTCACTCTCACGTTTCACCCTCACAACCACTCAGTTAAATCCATCACTCTTAAAAACTTTAAATTACTTCAAAACGATCCAGAGACAAGCACTATCTTTTCGCAGCCTCGGCTCATTTCATTCAAACGCGACAAAAACATAGGCAATTTTTTGGTRAGAAGTTCTTTTCAGACTAATGACCAACCAGGCACTTTTAAATGCACTCGTGCACGATGCAAAACATGTCCTTTCATTCACAACACTGATAAAATATCGGACCTAAACGATCCATTAAGATCACCAATCACTTCGCGTGCACCTCCGCCAATGTAATCTATTACATAACTTGCACTTATTGCAAAAAGATATACATGGGCGAAACAGGCAGAAGACTAGGTGACCGATTCCGAGAACACCTTCGAGACGTGGAAAGGAATGACAAGGACACATCTAAACCAGTCGCTAGACATTTTAATTTACCTAATCATTCTAAGCAACACATGGCAATCTGCGGTCTTTTCTTACACTTAGGTGGCACAGAAAGCCGTAAAAATCTTGAACAAAAGCTAATCTTTCAAACCGGCAGTCTAAATCCCACAGGGATCAACGAACGCTTTTCATTCCACTAATTTATTCATGTTTTTCTTGTTGCCATGCTCCCACCAATAACGTAGCTCCATTTTCTACCTTTAAAAGCACACACAACCCACAATTCCTCTATTCGCTCTGACGAAGGGCTAACGCTCGAAACGTCAGCTTTTGTAATCATTACAGTGGCTAATTTACCATTTCAACTTTGTTGATATATCCAAATTATTTCGTTACTCCCACCGACGCAGCCCCAAACAGTTTCTTTCGAAACTATCAGCCTTTATCCAGTTTATCGAAGGTTGATTAGAGCTAACTCAAAATTACATATTAATCCGGGTTTCTTTATAATTCCATCACTCAAAAACCTGTTTGAAATCAGATTTCACAATAACCCTGGGTTATCTTAACCCTACTTTGAACAACGTAGCCTTGGAAAAAAGATTTTTTTTCTTTCTAGTACATAGTAGAAGGTACAGCATACATGTACATCAAGTGAATTTCAGCTCCTTTAGAATCAGATTTTCTTTTTCCAATGATGGCCGTAATTTTTCTTTTTTTTTGTGAGCCCAAGTGTACTGTGCAGTGTGTGATTTTGGGGTTTAAAAGTCATAAAGGGGAACACCTAATGCATTAAGATTAAATTTTAAGCATATTAAGCATGTGTCGGGAAAAAAAACAAGAACTTTACATGAATGTACATGTGTGTAACCTTGCATTTACTAGTATGTGAAGAAAAAAATCAGTTAAGTTTTGACCACTAGAAATATCCCAAACTGACTGGAAATTTACACCATTATTAATTTTAGTCATTATTATAAATATTCGTTCCTACCGGTAAGATTTCAGCTACAGTGTATGTGGTGCTGTAGTGGAAGACACCATGCATCTAATTTTTTTCAGTTACACCAGTCTTTGAATGGCTCAAGTCACTTAGAACCATTTTGTTTAAACAAATTGGAGAACATATGGTGTTTTACAGAATTTTTATTAAATGTAGAAAATATCATGGTGATCGCTTGCACTCATTTTTTTCAGCTACACTGCGAATGGCTGGTGCCCTAGAAAAGAGTGGTGAGGTGATGAAGTATATGCAGCAACTGGTGAAAGTACCAGATATACAGGCTACAATGAATGAAATGTCTAAAGAAATGATGAAGGTACAGCCTGGCTGTATGCACTGATGATTTTCAATGGGAGAACATTAAACAAATCTCTGTCTTATCATTTGTTGATTTGCTCTTGACAGAAGTAAAAGACAAGCAAAGTAGACTTGTCGCTAGTTAAGATAATACATCAGGATCAATTAAACCAGACAAAGAAGCTGTGCAAGCCAATTGAAAGCAGTGCATATCAGTAACATTCATGTAAAGTTGAACCTTAAGATTTCATGTAGTAGTGTGTGCTTACAAATTTGACAAGCTGTGTACAGTATTGATTTTCCTTGAAGGTTTCTCTTTATAGAGACGTACATGTACATGTAGCAGAGTAGTTTCTTCATTGGATTTATAATTTTTCAGAGACTAACATTTGCCAGTTTCCATGCACATTCTGATTTATGTGGTTTGCTTACATTGCTGTAGATACAATTACTTGTTGTGTACAATTCCATTTCTACTACTCATTCTGTGCCACAGTTTAAGAGCAATATAAATTGTTACTAGACAATTGAACAAATAAAATTTGACTTTTATAAAGTTGACCTTGGTGGTTAACAAAATAATGTTTTCAAATTTATGCATAATTATGTTTATTCC